AGGGCCACCTCTCCTCGCTCATCTCTCTTTCCCCACCGTCCAAAGGGAGCCCTAGGCTTCCCCGGGCAGTTCCAACACGAGGGACAGCGGGTCATGGAAAGGCCCTGTGTTTACACACCACAGCCAGGGGAGGGCAACTCCACTCAGGCCCATAGAGCCACAGGCCAACGTATTTGTCTTTTTTGTTAAAAAATATATTTTTATTGATTTCAGAGAGGAAGGGAGAGGGAGAGAGACACATCAATGATGAGAGAATCATGGACCGGCTGCCTCCTGCACGCCCCCCACTGGGGATCGAGCCCGCGACCCGGGCCTGTGCCCTGACCTGAATGGAACCTGGTTCACAGGCCGACGCACACCCACTGAGCCCGCCGGCTGGGCCATATTTGCCTATTGGCGGTCCTGCTACTGTTGTCTTTCTAGTCCGCCCCCGCCTTCTCAGCCTTGCTTTTCCTGTACCCATGCCCCTTATCCCGGTACGTTTTCATAACACATCGCGGGTCTCTGTGGAGTAAGCGGTGTCTGGATGGTGCACAGCTCTGAGGAGGGAGGCGGGCCTAGTCCACGGTGACAGGCAGCCCCAGGCCCGGCTCCGCCCACTCCTCTGAAAGGTGCGGGGTCTCACTGAGTCATACCTGCTGGCTCACGGCAGCCCCAGTGGAAACGAAAGGCACTCCCAGGTCCTTAGGAAGAGCCTTAAAGATAGGGCTTGAGCACAGAAGACTCCCCTCTCCCCCAACAATGAGAGGCGTTCTTGGTGCCACTTAGGAGCCGTAAACAAGGACGTCCAATCAGTGCTCACGTCTTTAGCGCAGAAGAGCTTGGCTAAGTGAGATTCTGTGGATGCTTAAATGAAAACAGCCTGCTCCCTCACAAAAACACAGCTTTGCATACACGTGACGAAGGGCTATTAAAATCTCCTAGATTAGCGACAGAAACATAAAACATACGCAAATTTCCTCAGTTTGAGAGACTCCAGAGAGAAAAAAACATCTGAAATTCAAACCATCACAGTGTGCAGCTTTCCTGACTTTTACAGGAATATATTTACAGCTTGAGCGGGAAAGGCAGGGAAATACATAAAGTCAGGGGGGCAGCTCTTCCTGTTTCAGGGAAATGACAGTCGCGGAGAAGACGCTGAGAACGAGCTGTCGCTGACAGACTGCACTCGCTGATCTCTGCCCCTTCCGCTGAGCTCTGAGAAGAGCGGCGCCTTTCTTTCCGAATTTGAAGAATGGCGCCAACGAGCTGTCCCCTTTAGGCCTGCGCGCCCAGCCCACGGCCGCCGGCAGCCCGCTGGCCCCCACCGGAGGGAACCACACTCTTCACATGTTTTAAATGGTTGGGAAAACACAGATTTCTGGACACGTGAAGATTCTATGGAATTCAAACGTCGGTGCCCACAGGAAAGCTTCCCTGAACACACGCGGGCCGGCCACTTCCCTCCGTGCGTGGCTGCTCGCCCACGACCACGGCCGAAGGGCCCAGAAGCCTAAAACAGTTACACGACCCAGTGCCTACAGACCCTGACCTACAGGACGACCCCTGACCTACAGGACGACCCCTGACCTCCGAGACGAGCCCACCCGCGGCCCCGCTGCGCGTCCCGGGCCGCGTGGAGACCTACCTGGTGGAGATGGCGCAGGTGTGTGTCCAGGCAGCAGAGGCAGCAGGAGCAGCACCTGAGCAGGCACCTGGACCAGGCGCTCCGCTGCGGGTCAGGAGCAGAAGCAAAGGACAGAGTCAGGACCACCGGAGGGGAGGCGAGCGGCAGGCTCTGCGACTGCTTCTCCCGGAGCTCACACTCCTGGGGACGCCCTGCAGCGGCGCTCAGAGTGTGAGAAATCCCCTGCTGCACACGCCACGGCCACGAGTTGTTATTATTATTATTACTGACGACCGAGGTGTCTCCCTCGTGGGCTCACCTGTTACCCCGCTGTCGCCCTCAACAGGAAGGGAAGTGGGTTTGCTCACATGTGCTATCAAAGGTAACCGCTAGCCCCTACTTCGAGTAAAAACCTCTCTCCCTTCACCTCCCTCCAAGTGTCTTCAATGTGAGACTTTGCTTTTTCAAACCAGCTCAGCGTCATGACAAATTCACACCCCGAAGTCAGTAAAACAAAGTATGCTTTGCAGACACTAGTCCTGTGGTCGCACGAAAAAAAGATTCAAGTCTAACTTTTTTGGGAAATGAATCCGATAGTGAGACGTTCAGGGCTGCATTTTAAGAGAGAAGTTAGTCCTGTGAGATGTCGCCTGGACCTGTGTGCAAGGCCAGCGTGAATCATTACAGAATCGCCCCCGGGGCCTGACAACGAGCCTGACACAGGCCTCTGGGAGGCCCAGGAGCTCTGGCCTTCGGTGGACATGCTCTCCTCCCAACGGCGATTCACTGGCAGGAAACTTGGAGACCTCCCAGCCTGGCCGCGGTGGGTGTGCCATTCACCCAGCGAGGACCACGCAGGGGCAGCCTGCAAGGCCCAGGAGCACGTCCTCCCGAGCCTGGGAAGGGACACATCGCTCAGAGGGAGTGCGGCCCTCGGTCCCCGGGGCCTCGGGGGGTGAGTGACCTTTCAGACCTCTGCCGGAGGGACCAGCCTGACTTCTTTACCGTGAGGGACGGCTGCTGCCCTGGAGGGTAAGATGCTAGCAGCACAGGGAGGGGAGGCGAGGTGCCCGACTGCTCACTAACTCATGATTACACACACACGCATACATACAAACACAAAGAGGTATCTATATTTCCATATCTACATCTCTATATCACTACATATACACACATACATACAAATACATATCTATATGTCTGTCTACATCCCTTCGGCATGTGAAATATTCAGAGCTGAAGGCAGGCGAGACCCTGCGGGCTCATAAGAAACGCTTACTCTCCCTTAAAGAACTTGGATGCGGGCCTTGTCCATAGAGTGGCCACCAGAATAACATTTCCGACCTATTTGTACAGCAGGACAGACGTCTCCTTACTGCACATTGTTCCTCGTGTTGGCTGGCAGGGACCTCGTCCCCAGCTCAGAGGTCCTCTCCCCCCACTTCCCTGTCTCTCTCTGAACCTCGCATGTGCATGGAGCTCCCATACACACACGTGATTAAATGGGGCCATTTTCTCTTGTTAGTCTGTCTCATGTCTATTTTTTTTAATTATTTTAGAATTTTTAAATATTTTTTATTGATTTCAGAGAGAAAGGGAGAGAGAGAGAAACATCAATGATGAGAGAGAATCACGGATCAGCTGCCTCCTGCAGGCCCCCCACTGGGGATCGAGCCCCCAACCTGGGCATGTGCCCTGACCAGGAATCGAACCGTGACCTCCTGGTTCACAGGTCGATGCTCAACCACTGAGCCACCCGGCCGGGCTGTATTTTCATTATGAGATCAGCAGCAGACGGAAGAATGTTTCTTCCCCCATAAATACACATGGGGCTGCAAATAGATTCTGTTCAAGACATCCTCCTCCGAGGCCCCGAAAACTGAAGGATCAACTCCAAACGCAGGAGCCAGAGCAGCTGGATCCACCTGGAGGTGGAAACGCGTCTTTAATTCCCAAAATGTATGCATTTTTTCATCCCTCGAAATTCGGCCCTGAAAGTCTCACCATAGAATTTATTTCCCCTCAAAAGAGTTCAACATAACTCTTTTTTAACGTGGGCACATAACCAGTGCCCACAAAGCACCACTTCAACAGCGACACAAGGGGACACTGTGGCCAGGGCCGCGCCGCCCGCAGTTCCAGATCAGAACCTGGGCCACCCGACCTGGACCCCACCCGACTCTCCTCTCGGGCGCTGGACTTGAACACACGGACAGGTCAGGGGCTGCCTGGAAGGGCACAGAGGGTGACATTTCCCTGCTCGGCCAGCACAGGTCCCCAGGCCCAGCGGCGGGAGTCAGGTTTGTGAACTCTGACCCTGAAAAAGCAGAGCTGGGAAAGTCCCACCTGCCCTGCCTGTTGGCCAGGAACAGCCTGCGCACAGCTGTCCCCTGGAGCTCGGGTTCCACCGCCATTCACAGCCAACGGGCACGGAAACGCAGCCGGAGCAGCCGCACAAAGGCCCACAGTTCTCCGCTCTGGAGCCGAGATGTGGGTCATCTTGCCCATTTCCCTCTCTCTCTCTCTCTCTCACACACACACACACACACACACACACACACACACACACCAGTGACTCCCCACGGCGCCCTTTAGGAAATGCTAAAGGCAAGAAATACTTTAGCATTAAAACACAAACAAATATTATTCTAATCTTGTGGATCTTGTAGCGTATTTTTTTCCCCTCTTTAAAAAAGCATCTAAATGTCCTTAAAAAATGGTTTAAATTTTCCTCGGAAGAATTCCTCCCATTTGTTCAGCATTTAAACAAGAAGGGAAGCACCCACTTGGAACACCCCCCCGCCCCCACCCGCCGCTGTGTGGGTGGAAAAGCACAAACAGCCGATTGGGACAGAGTCTGCAGGGGGTGGGGTGGAGGAGGGCCCTCCGGGCGGCCCTGCCGTCCTTGGCCTCACCTTGTCCTTCAGGGCCCTGGAAATGAACATGAGGGCGGCTCGTGGAACCCTCACCACGGTGATCAAAAGCGACCCTTTCGCCACTGTCCCCTGGTGGTAGCAGAGAAGGATGGAGAGAGACGACAGGATGGGGCGATGGGGAGGGTCCTGTTCATTCCTGGGGACAGGAGAAGAGGACAGTATTTTAAACTATTTTATTTTTTTATATTTTATTGATTTTTTACAGAGAAGAAGGGAGAGGGATAGAGAGCCAGAAACTTCGATGAGAGAGATCGATCAGCTGCCTCCTGCACGCCCCCCAGTGGGGATGTGCCCGCAACCCAGGTACATGCCCTTGACCGTAATCGAACCTGGGACCCCTGAGTCCGCAGGCCGACGCTCTATCCACTGAGCCAAACCGGTTCGGCGAGGACAGTATTTTAAACCACTGCTGAGAGGGGAGCAACCAACTCTGGTTCAGATGGGCGATGGCACTAATGGTGCCCGGCCCGGATTGGGTGCCCGGCCTGGAGTGGGTGCCCAGCCCAGATTGGGTGCCCAGACCAGGCTGGGTGCCTGGCCCGGAGTGGGTGCCCGGCCCGGAGTGGGTGCCCAGCCTGGATGTAGGTGCCTGGCCGGGATGCGGGTAGCCAGCAGCAATGCAAAGCATGTGGCAACGTGTCCCTACATGTCGGCCGCTGAGGGAAAAGCATTTCCTGGGCTAAGATAACTCCTGTTGGTGACACTCAATGCCCTAAACCAGTGGTTCTCAACCTTCTGGCCCTTTAAATACAGTTCCTCATGTTGTGACCCAACCATAAAATTATTTTCGTTGCTAATTCATAACTGTAATGTTGCTACTGTTATGAATAAAAAAAAATGGCCCAGAGTGGGTGCCTGGCCCAGAGTGGGTGCCCGGCCCGGAGTGGGTGCCCAGCCTGGATGTAGGTGCCTGGCCGGGATGCGGGTAGCCAGCAGCAATGCAAAGCATGTGGCAACGTGTCCCTACATGTCGGCCGCTGAGGGAAAAGCATTTCCTGGGCTAAGATAACTCCTGTTGGTGACACTCAATGCCCTAAACCAGTGGTTCTCAACCTTCTGGCCCTTTAAATACAGTTCCTCATGTTGTGACCCAACCATAAAATTATTTTCGTTGCTAATTCATAACTGTAATGTTGCTACTGTTATGAATCGTCATGTAAATATCTGATATGCAGGATGGTCTTAGGTGACCCCTGTGAAAGGGTCATTCGACCGCCAAAGGGGTCGCGACCCACAGGTTGAGAACTGCTGCTAAACAAACATAGAACAGAAAACTTTTTAAAACACTGGTGGGGCTCTGGCTGGTTTAGCTCAGTGGACAGAACATTGGCCTGTGGACTGAAGGGTCCCGGGTTCAATTCCCGTCAAGGGCACATGCCTGGGTTGTGGGCTCGATCCCCAGTAGGAGGTGTGCAGGAGGCGGCCGATCCATGATTCTCTCTCATCATTGATGTTTCTCTCTCTTCCTCTCCCTTCCTCTCTGAAGTCAATAAAAATATATTAAATAAATAAAACACTGGTGGGTAAAAGAAACCCGGTTCCCTCTTCGCAGCAGCCACCCCTTCCACCCGCCCTTTAAGCTGCCTGGTAACCTCGTCTTCATGTTCAGAAGTTCCACTGTAATCCTCTGCCAGGCATAATCGCACAGGGAACGCTGCCCGCCTGGCCGGGTGGTTAGAATTGCTCCGGAATCCGGGGACCGGGACCGTGGCCAGGGAGGGACGGGCGCTCCCCTGGCCGGCGGCCGGGAAGTCTGGCTTCCGCACAGCCCCAGGCCCCTGACACCCAGCTGATCCCTCCCGCTCCCAGGGCTCCCTGTGGAGTCATTTCCGGGATGGACGTGTCCTGACAGGGCTCCCAGCAGGCGGAGCCCAGCTGCACAGGCAGGGGAAGGAGAGCGGGGCAGAGCCTCCCCCCAACCCTGAGGGTGAGACCAAGGCCAGCGCTGGGCGGCCCTCCCTGACCCTCCGGATTCCGCCAGGCCGGTTCCCGAGCCCGAGGCCCTTCCCAGAAGCCACTGCTCCGCCCGGGGAGGGGGGCCGCTGCCAGAGGCCTGCGGAGTCCAGGTTTTGAGGGCGCCTAGGCCTGCGAGAGGAAGGGGCGCGGCCGCGGTTTCCGGAGCTGGCAGAGGCGCGTTTTGCAGTCAGTCTTCCAGGAGGGAGAAGAGAGCGTGTTTAACTCCGAGTCCCGTCCCCCCTGTCCGTCCGGGAGGAGGAAATGCCAGGGAGCGACAGCTGATGGGAGCGCAGGGACCTGACCACAGAGAGCCAGGCCAGGGGAGTCTGACACGTTGCTCCCTGTCCTCGTTTTTTGTTTTGTTTTGGTTTTTTTTTTAAAGAATGTTTAGGTTCCCATTTAGGAGGTCTGTGTGCCTCAGGACTTCTCAGGAGGGGGCGCAGGGGCAGAGGGCACCCCCGCTTCCCGGCCGGGAGGGGCCCGGGGGCCCAGCCGCTGTGCGCAGGCTTCCTGCCATTTCCTGATCCTCAGCCACGGACGCCACGCCGTGAAATGCAGACTCAGCTCTCACAGGCCTCATTCTCCCAGCCCCTCCCGCTCAGCACAGTCACACTGCAGCTCCCAGTTAGAGTCCTGCTCCAGCTTCAGTGAGATCGAACCGACTGCACCACCGAGACTGAGCGTCGACCTCGGACCAGGAGGTCACGGTTCGATTCCCGGTCAGGGCACAGGCCTGGGCTGCAGGCTCGATCCCCAGTGTGGGGCGTGCAGGAGGCAGCCGGTCCACGATTCTCTCTCATCACTGATGTTTCTATCTCTCTCATCCTCTCCCTTCCTTTTTAAAATCAATAAAAAAATATTTTTAAAACAAACAAACAAAACAAAAGAAAAGAAACCCCAGCTGCTCTTCGTGGGCAGGAAGGAGGTGCCTGCTCAGGACATGAGCCATCCCCACTCCACTCTCCTCCCCCAGAAACTCCCTGTTATCTGCTCGCGTGGTCTGGGAGATCAGAGGGGGGCTGGCCCAGCGGGGACTGAGCTTCCTGTCAGCGTCCTGGCCTGGCCTGTCCTGGCCGGTCCTCTTTGGCCCGAGGTGTTAATTGCCCCATGTGGAGAGTCGCCAGACAGGTCGGGTGAAGGTGCGTGGGTGTGCGTGTCCTCGGGCACCGTGAGGTCATGGGTGTGAACACTGCAGAGTCACGGGGAAGCACAGGCAGGAAGCCGTTCGCTCGCACACACGGGAACAGGAGTTTTAGGTCATAGTTACACGCAGTTCCCTGAGGACGCAACGTGGTTCCCTGAGCGCACACTCTCCTCATCTTATACCGGACCCCTCGGGTTTGCAGACGTCACTGAGGTGCGCCCCACACGGCCCAGGGCACCCCACATGGCCCAGTGCGTCCCATGTGGCCCAGGACGTTCCCACGCGGCCCAGGGCGCCCCACACGGCCCAGGGCAAAGCTGGTGAGAAGGACACTCGCAGGAGGCCCTGCCTTCCAGCTCTCTCCCCTCCACGCGGCCTGTATTTCCCTGTCTGGCTTCCTGCTGGGTTTTCTATCTTAAAGAGCTTGGACCTGTGGCGGACGGAAGGGACACCATTTCTTTTCCCACCAAATAAGCGCCCAGAGTTTTGGCTTCGTGTAGCTCTTGCCAGTCCTTTTGAAGGGGTCACGTCCAAACTGAAAAATTCCTGAGTCGCACAATGTGACGACACAAGCCAGCCAGCAGGGGCAGCAGGGGCAGCAGGGGCAGCTGGACCTACCTGTTGAAGTAGCAGGCGGCCACGGCCCCCGCCACCGCCATCTGCTGGCAGGCGAGGATGAAGTTGCTGGTCCAGACGAGGCTCAGGAGGTGGTACCCCCACATGTAGCGGAGGCCGGAGAGAGGCTGGTACTCCACCCGTCCCCCTGCGGTGACCTGGGCCGCTCCTAAGGTTAGAGCACAGACATGCTTACACCAGCGCCGTCCGAGCACCGACCCACAGGCCCACCTCCGCCCCCCACCCCCCGGCCTCTGGCATCCATGAAACACAAACGCCCCAGTAACGTGTCAAGCGCCCGCCCACCCTAATCTAAGATCTCCACAGCAAAAATGAAGCATTCTGATCACATTTAACTTACGGACACAATGAACTGTAACTGCAGTGACGGGTGGTGGGCAATGAGCAGGACACACGATGTCCACCTTCCTATTCACCCCACTTTGCGGGGGTGAACACGGAGGTTCGGGAGGGCCACAGCCCTTTCGGACTCGAGATTAGCGGGAGGAGAGCGGGAAGCCACGCCCCCTGGGCACTGACACCCATCTTCCTCCAAACCGCCTTGTGAGACAACAGACCTCCGGTGGCCGAGCCCCCCTGAAGCTGCAGGGGCCCCAGGACAGAACCCGAGTCACCAAAAATGTAGCCTTGGTAAAAGCGACGAGGTGCAGGGACAGCGGCTAACGGGACAAGCCGAGGCCCCGCAGGCCCTCACACCCCGGCACCCCCACGCCACTGGACACCACTGGATCCGAACGTCTGGGAAGCCGTCTCCGACTTGCTCTTCGCTCTGGTCACTCCGGCGGTTCATAGCCTTTCCTCTAGGCCAGTGGTCGGCAAACTGCGGCTCGCGAGCCACATGCGGCTCTTTGGCCCCTTGAGTGTGGCTCTTCCTAAGCCTTAGGAGCACCCTAATTAAGTTAATAACAATGTACCTACCTATATAGTTTAAGTTTAAAACATTTGGCTCTCAAAAGAAATTTCAATCGTTGTCCTGTTGATATTTGGCTCTGTTGACTAATGAGTTTGCCGACAACTGCTCTAGGCCGGCTTTCTCAGCTCTGCACGTACTAACGGGCACTGTGGACCATTTAATTTGTTGTTGGGGTGGGTGGGGGCAGGCCTGTGCCTTGCAGGGTGTCCAGCAGGGTCCGAGGCCTCTACCCATCTGACGCCAGCAGCATCCTCCTGCCCCTCCCCCAGTCCTGCCAGCCCCCAAGGTCTCCAGACTGCCCAACGCCACCTGCTGGACAAAACCAGTGCCCGGGAACCAGGGCTGTAAGCGAACCCCGGGTTAGGGTTAGGGTTAGGCTCCTTCCGTGAAAGCCCAGGGAAGTCCCGGAGGGCGGGCGGTCCCCGGCACGTGGCTGCCCTCTCCTGGGCGGCCGTGGCCCTGCAGTCAGGAGGCCCGGGAGCACAGGCTATTTTGTTGCTGAGCTTTGTTACAATGTAGCAATAGGAAGTGTCGGGAAGTTCAGGGACCAGACCCAGGATGGATGGGTCTTGGGGGACCTAAGAAAGGACTTGGCTCCAGGCTCAGCTTGGACACGTGTCAGAAGCCCCCGGCGGGCGGTGGCCACGGGCCTGGGCTGGACGGTCACCCCTCTGCCCTGAGCCTAAGGCCACCCCCCAACATCCTCTTTCTCACCGACTTGAAGGTATCTGCTTCCCAAGAACCTCGCATGTCTTTCCAAGAATCTCCCGGGACCCCTTCCCTCCTCCCGCTTCCCTGCCGTTTCTCTCGTAAAACACAAAACCAGCTGCTCTTCAACCCGAAGAGGAGAGAACTTCCCGTTTCCCCAGGCCCAGCCCGAGCACTGTCACCCTCACCAGGCTCGGGCCCCACAAACCGTCCCACCAACAGGGCACGGCCCCGGCACGCGGCCCCGACACGTGGCCCTCACACGCGGCCTTCACACCCGGGCATCCCCACGTGACCTGGGCCACTCCTAAGGTTAGAACACTCCTAAGGTTAGACATGCTTACACCAGTTCCGTCCGAGCACCGACCCACAGGCCCACCTGGAAATACTCACACAGCACGGGGCCCTGACACGCGGCCCCGACACGCAGCCCCGACCCCCC